TTTGCCTCTAACTCCATTGTGAATTGTGTTTTAGAGTTTATAGAGTTAAGGTGGTCTAAAAATGCAGTTACTTTGTCAGATGGTAAAGTTGTGAAAGTGTCGTCTACTTACAGCTTGTAGAATCTTGGATTTACAGGAGCAGTAAGAAGGGCTTTCTCCTTGAAGTCCCGCATGAAAATGTTGGCGACTATGGAAGATATAGGTGAGCCCATCGCCACACCATCTACTTGCTTGTAGAACTCTTCCTTCCACAATGACATTGGTACGTCAAACATCTCAGTCCCCCCGTGACCATGGGTGTTGTAAAGCACCCGAAACGTCGGGAATTAAAAATTAGTAAAAGTAATTAATTAAACGCGATAGAATTCGTAAATTTAATTTTATTCGATGTGTAGTGTTCGCGTAAATTTAAGAAATCATTATGGATATTGTTAAAGTTAGTAATGTATTAATATTTTATGACTAAAGCTTTGCAATAAATTGTTACGATATTTTCTACAGTGATTCTCTCCTCTTGGTATCTGCGTGACTGTAGCATCTTATATAGGTACTGCGTAATGTTCTAAATAGCACTTTTTACACAAGAAAGTGAACTTGAACTGTGATTTGAGTTGATATCAGTCTATTTTGTTTTTCGCTAATTAAATTAATAGTAAAATAAACCGAGAGGTCCGTGATTTAAAATTTCTTGCATTTTTTAATGGAAAAGCACGAAAAAGCTTGAATAGCACAAACTAGCTTTAATGGTTAGCTAAACGCCCTAATTAATGCTTAGATTTTATTTAAAATTGATTTCATTATTCTGTACTTCCTGCTGTGTTGCTTTTAGTCTCTTCAAAAATCTGCCTCGATGTCTATGATTAAAATTTAATAATATCTAAACATGTAACACAGGAAACTGGCAGATCTTTCAATGACACGTGCCAGTAAACATTGGAGTACTTTTTCAGAATTTTCCTAATGATTTAGAAGAATTAGTTTATTTTCTGATGGTTTCGTATGTTGTTCCGAAGCAATCTCAAATTTTATTATAAAATAAATATTGTAGATTTTAAAATAATACTGTAAGTATTTTACGTTTATTATAAAGTCGGTACATTACACAATTATGCAAAACAACATTCTGTATTTATTCACGCAAAAACTACTGAACCGATTTTTATAAAACATTGTATATAGGTAGTTATGTAATCCGAGGCAACTTACAGGCTACATTTTATCCGATTACGAAACTTTAAAAAGAAGATTAAGTATTTGCGTTCATAGAGATGTTAATATTCTATTACTTAATGGATATTTGCTGTGACGATTTGAGGTGGCGGATTCTCTTTCACCGCCACAAAAAGGCAAACATTTTTCTACTCCCGTTCATGAGTGTGGTTCGTCGTACATTTACAATGAATAGAACTTCATTTGGAATAAAACTAAGTTTAAGAATTTTATCGCGTTGAAATTTAACTTTATGGCGGCGCTGTCGTCGCGCCGCAAGCGAAACACACCAAAGCCTATAAAAATTCCGAATTACAAACAGTATATATAGAACATCCCCGAACAATCACACGGAGCGTTGGCCGCTCCCCGGGCAGTAACCTTGCCCGGTGGGAGATCTCCCTTTTACCTTCCACGGCCACAGTGGTGACCCAACGTGATCTGAACACGCAATTCTTCAACCTTCGGAAAACTTCAAGCTTCATAATCGTCATAGAGTACTCCACCCATTCGCTCCCGAGCAGATATCGTCTGCAGTCTTCATATCCTGCTAGCCATCTAGCTTAACAAGGTTCATCGCAGCACTGGAATAATAATGCTTCCTGTTCCTTCAAGCTACTCTCTGCGCTATACAGTTTTCGGTATGGCTCCGAGCCTTACTGCTCGTCTCTGCTTCACGGTACTCTCGCAGATTACTTGCCTTCTTCTCGCCTCACCTCAGACTACAAGGCAATCTCCTGGCACTTGAACATTCGGCGGCAACGAGGCTGCACTATTGACCTCCGGTCTGAGCAGGATGATATGGCGGCGCTGTCGTCGCGCTGCAAGCGAAACAAACCAAAGCCTAAATCACGATATCAAAATTCCGAATTATAAACAGTATATATAGAACATCTCTGAACTATCATACGGAGTGTTGGCCGCTCCCCGGGCAGAACACCATGCTCGGCGGGAGATCTTCCCTTTTTCCTACCACGGCCACAACTTTCTAACGTGTTTGATGTCCTGATGTCTTTTGAAGTCCACCCTCAAATTTTTGGTGTAAATTACTAATGTTTGGTCCTATCACGCATTTACTCGTAAATTTTGCAGTAATATGTTTGGTTGGGTTGGTTTAATTTTATTAATGATGAGATCTCAAGCAGATCGTAGCACTAAGTCCTGTTCTTTATTGAGATGAGGATGTTATTTTTTATTTCAATAGCCTCGCAAATCTTCCCTGGTAGTAATCAGGGTTCTATTATGGGGATTTACGGTCTATCATACTTTGTATAATGTTTGGAATGATACTAGACATGTTGACATACTTCAGACTTCCCGAAGCGTCGGTGCTTCATATCAGCGATATGTTCTTTGACGCTAGTTTTTATGGACCTTTCATCCAAAGATGCGTAAAAAAACCTATTAATAAGTAAATTTTATTTTATTTTGTGTAGTATTCGCGTAAGTATAAGAAATCACCATAAAACTTCATTTATGAAATTTTGAAGTCTACTCGAACCTAAAAATAATAATAATCATCATCATAATTACAGCACTTCACAAGTCCACTGCTGAACATAGGCCTCCTCCAAGTAATGCCACAAAGCACGGTCCTGAGCCACCTGCATCCATCGACTTCCTGCATGTCTTATCAGGTCGTCACTCAATCTAGTGGGGGGGAGGGGGGTCGCCCTACACTACGCCTACCGTTACGAGGCTGCCACTTGAGATCCGTTTTTCCATATCGGTTATTGGTTCTTCGAGCTATATGGCCGGCCCATTGCCACTTCAGCTTACTAATCCGTTGGGCTATGTCGGTTACTCTGGTTCTACTGCGGATATCCTCATTTATGAGTTTATTACGCAGAGATACCCCGAGCATAGCCCTCTCCATAGCTCGCTGAGCGACCTTGAGCGTCCTTATACGGCCAGCAGTGGAGGACCACGTCTCAGATCCGTAAGTCATCACTAGCAATACACACTGGTTGTACAATCTAGTTCTAAGAGTTTGAGGTATACTTGACGAGAAGATGTGTCGTAATTTCCTGAACGCTGTCCAGCCGAGTTGAATACGTCTTTTGACCTCTCGGTCGATGTTGGACTTACCTAGTTGAACTATTTGTCCCAGGTAAACGTACTCGTCAGCAATTTCGAGCCAAGTGCTCCGAACAACTACGGGCATAGGTGTGATATGGACGTTAACCTCTCAGCCCCCGAGCGGTCGCATGGGCCCGCGGCCATATTCCGTCAAATCCCTAGCGGTCTTATGAGACCGCACCCACCCACAGCACTTTAAACCATAAAAACTTATACTTAGAGACTACTTGTATATGAAAAAGTTTGGCATTATGGGCTCAACGTGAAATTTTCTATCCTCTAATGCAATAAAAAGTAGTTAGTTTACGGTTTTTTATTTATAACCTCTCGTCTGTGAGGTGGCTGATTTCAGCCAGTAAAAAATAAGGCGCGTCTGTGGGCTGGCTGATTTCTGCCATTACGACACGGTCGCATTTCGCGGCTATATTCGTTTATTTCTTTATCTTTCTCTGTGGAATAAGACCGTGACTATGTTCATTATGAACTTGGCTGTATGATATACGTTACTACTAGCAACGTCTATAGAAAAATAAAAAGAAACTTGTCATTGAATTTCCGATGATTTCGTTGAATAGACGTGTGGTAATTTTGCTTTTAAAATTGTGAATTACAAGTTATTATATCGGATATCATGGAAAATACAATGGAGCGGTAAGTTATCTTTAATTATTTATCTACTTTTCGAGGCTTGTTGGCAATTTTCAATAAAAATTTTCTAATTTAATTTGACTCAGTCCTAGGAATGACCGCAAGTTTTTATTTCCTAAGTGACTTAATTGCTTTCTGTGTCAATATATTCTGTGCAATATATTGTGAAACTAATATTTAAGCTAAATACGAAAGCATGAAGTATACTTTGATGTAAAAAGTGAGAAATTGCTTCAAAAGTATATAACGGTCGTTAAGTGGCTGATATCCTCCAAATTCACAGACTAGTTTTGACATGTGTTTTGGTAACGATGCAGAATATGGATTAGCCTTTGGCAGTGATGGGAAAAATGGTTTACGTATAAGTCAAAATGATAATTATTTGATAATATTTTAGTTTGAAGTAAAATATATATAATAGTTTTAAATTAAAGTATTTAAGTACAAAATTCAAAATGCGTATTTCTAAAAAACACTTTTTTAAATACATTTCTAATCAATTTGTTGAGATATCAGTGATTAATTGCTTTGTTTGAAATATAGAAAAATACTTACAACCAGTTTGACTTGCCATCTCGGTATGTAAGACCATTTTGAATACTACAAAGACTATTTTTATTTAAGATATAAAATAAAAATAGGTATTTGCATTTTAAATACATGTATTTCAAATTATTAATTTTTTTTGGTACTTAAGTCTTCTTTTTTGTACTGGACTGGAACATTCACGAGGCATTGGGATTTGAAAACTAAAGTATTTTTGCGTCTTATATTTTCCGAAATAAATTGCAGATATTTAATCTTTTTTCTGACCTAAAGATGGTATTCTGATCTTGGCAGCAACTGTTCGGCAGTGACTGCTGGGAATCTCGGCACCGCTCTGTATGGGTTTATATGCTGCCTTTCTGTTATAAACAGAATGAGTCGCTTGCCGAGATCGAAATTCCACCTAGATAAAGTGCTTTTTATTTTTAAAAAAATGTTCTTGTGTTTTTTTTGGTTTATTTTCTTTTTCTTTTGCATGTTGGTACTGTCGTTTTTACAGTCAGAGGAGTGTCAGTGGCATGGTCCATACACGAGGTGGCACTCGTTCACGCATTAGTGCACGCACACGCGATGGTGTTCGCACACGTGGTGGCGTACGCACACGTGGTGGCACTGCAGGTGTGGCGCTTGGTGTGGACGCGGCACTTGTTACGAGTATAGCATACGGTGTGAGCACAATGCGAGGCGGACCAGCGGTACGAGGCGGGCGCGCAGCGCGATGTGAACGCAGCGCGCTTGTTACTGGAGTTGAAAGGGGCATGTCAAGACCTTCCGTCTCAGAACCGTAATCATCGCCTTTTAACTTATGTTCTAAAATTTTCTATACTGATCAATTTTTGTATATACTAATTACAGGAAATTATTATTATTTTAGCCTATTTAGCGCGATGATAGAAGATGTACAGCAAGGGTATGGGTTGGAGCGTCCTTTACACGCTAAAAGAAAGCGCTCTTTGCCCCCAACATCAGTGTATGTATTTTTATTGTTGTTTCTTAATTGAACTATAGATAACGATTTTAGAATTGACTAAATATATTTGAATTTTTTAGCTTCAACATAAATTCATCGTTGTTGGAGTTAAGCCATCAACATCCACATTCTGTTGAGGTGAATGATGCTGGGCCATCGTCGCCACATATGTGAGCACTTATTATTGTTTATATATTTTACAGATTTCTAATCTTTGTTCCTTTTTCTTATCCAAATTTATAATTCAGACAGGGTTCTGATACGGTGCGTGCTACATCAACGGCACCATCTCCAGCGCCGTTTGAAATGGTCTCGCCAGCACCCTCTCTGGTGGTCTCAGTGGTTGAGCCATCGACGCCTGCTACGTCAGAGTACTTGGAGGTCCCTTCACCGGCGATGTAAGTGTAATAAATTTTAATGTTGTCGGTATCTGTGGTATTCATGTTTTTTTAGGTACGTAGAGTGTAGTGGAAGTGGGACATCCATGTCTCAGACTGCAGGAAGGAGCTTCCACGTAAATGCAACATCCACGTCAAGGGCCCCAGTAGTGAGTAGAGGTTGCAAGCGTTCTTTGTAAGTATATTTAGTAAAATATTCAATTACCGCAAATATATTGTTGTTTTGTACTGTTTTAATTAGTGTTAATAATTTTGTTGTAGGATTTATAGTCGACTTCTACGGGACGGTTCGTTAATTTATTTCATTTTCATTCTGCCCCAACATCTTGCCAACTTAACTTTCTATCGTTCATTTCCTTAATTTTTTTAATAGGCAGTGAAGAAGAAGAAAGCGATGGGGAGGATGGCCAGGAAGAGGGCTCTCCCATTATGCTGATCCCGAAATCATTAAGAATGTTTCTCGAGGACAACGAAGAGGTGGGAAATGCATCGGCAGAGCTCAATTTTGCATGGCCTCCTTCAGCCTCTACCTCGGGATCTGCAGCACCCATCCCATTAAGACCACCACATGTGAAACAGTCCACTGGCTCAACACCTGCCCCTATAATAATCACACCGCTTGTAGAGCAGGCAGACCAGCAGGCCCAGCACCGGCCCGTGTAATAAAACCACATGAGGAGCTGCTTGTGCCCTGCAACAAATATGATTTCCAGTGGAGAGCATTCCCGCAGCCTCAAATTGAACCAGAGCAGAGGAGAGAAATGTTCTGTTCAGTTAATTGTGGACCTAACCCAATATACCAGTCCATATGAAGCATTCGTTGCAATTTGGGACCGGGAGATTATGGAGAAAATCGTTGTGGAGACGAACCGCTACGCTCAACAGTTAGCGGCGATCGTGATGCAAACAGGGACTTTGTAGCCCAATAGCCGCATCACAAAATGGCACGATACCACTGTGGATGAATTGTACGTGTTTTTTGCCATAGTTCAAGCGACCGGAATTGTGGTTAAAATACGTATAGTATAGTATACGGAGTATTGCAATTATAATAAAGATATTTTCTGTACTCCAGAATTCACCACAGCGATGCGTTTTGATCGCTTTATACTGTTGAGCAGATGTCTTCATTTTACAAACAACGACGCATGCATTCCTGCATTAATGGCCCGAGCGCAGGCAAAACTTTTTAAAATACAGCCCATTATAGGACATTTAAATTTTAAATTCTCCAAATTATATAATCTGAATTATATAATCTTGCAATCGATGAGAGCTTGACGATGTGGAAGGGCTGGTTAGATATAAATCAATTTATCAAAAATAAATCAGCGGCAGTGGGGATACATACGAATTATGAGAGTCCAAGTCTGGCTATTTGTGGCGCTTCGAAGTCCACGCAGGACACGAAGATCCCAAACCACAAGACGATTTTCCAGTTTCTGGTGTTATTCCATCCATTGTGCTCAGACTGTTAACTGGTCTTGAGCACAAAGGCCACTGCATATGGATGGACAGCTTTTACAATGCACCTGCGCTCGCGCGGGAGTTAAAGTGTAGTGGGTTTGACTGCGGACCTTCGTCGAACTAACGACACTTACTAAGCAAAATATGGCTGTCGGTCAGGTGAGTGGCTGCACTTCAGGAGATGTGGCGGGATAAGAATCGCGTAGCACTTATATCGACATACCATGGACTAGCAACCATGAAGTGCGGTGATACATTAAAGCCTACCGTAATCCATGATTACAACATTTGCATGGGTGGTGTCGATCGTAAAGATCAGATGTTAGCCATGTTCCCCCTTGAAAGGAAGCGAACGCAAGTTTGGTATAAAAAATTATTTAGACAGCTATTAAATGTAAGTATTTTAAATGCCTACATAATACACAAGTCTCAACAATTAGCGAATCACCGAAGTTTTCGTAAAACTTTGGTAGTTGGTAAACTTTTAAGTTCACCAACTACCAAAGTTGGTAAGGTAAACTGTTGTGTAGGAACTGCCAGGGGAAATACAAAACAGCCTATAATGAATGCTATAAGAGACGAGAATGGATGTATTCTGAATGATGAAGTTTCGAATTTAAACAGATGGAAGGAATACTTTGAAAGCGTGTTTATGAGTGAAGAGTCGTCTGAATTAAATGAGCTAGAAATTTCGAAAGAAGTAGAAAGGGGTATGGAGAAAAGTGTAGATGAAATAATGAAAGCAACAAAAAGCATGAAAGCAGGTAAGGCAGCTGGATATGATAGAGTATCACTCGAGATGCTAAGGGCTGGAGAGGGACTGGTGGCAGGCCTGCTGTACACCTTCTTTAATTTATGTTGGGAATTAAAACGGGTACCGGAAGACTGGGGTAAAGCAGTTATAGTACCAATATATAAAAGAAAAGGGTCACAGCAGGACTGCAAAAACTACCGTGGTATCAGCTTGCTTAGTATTGTGGGTAAACTGTATGGCTAAGGTGTTAATTGAAAGAGTTATGAATGAAACTGATGGAAAAATTTGGAATGTGCAAGCGGGTTTTAGAAAGGGAATGGGGTGTACAGATCGTCTTTTCCATGCGCATGATTGCGGAGAAGTTTTTGGCCAAAATCCAGAAAGTTTTTTGTGCGTTCATGGACTTGGAAAAGGCTTATGACAGAGTGGACAGGAATGTGTTATAGCAAACACTGAACTCATATGGGTTGAGCGCTGGTTTGATACAGGCATTAAGGTCTCTTTATAGGGACTCTAGTGCTTGTGTCAGGATCAGTGGGGTCTACTCGGACTGGTTTGGCATCCAAAAAGGTGTCAGACAGGGCTGTGTAGCTTCCCCTTGGCTGTTCAACCTATTTATGGACAGGTGTTTGCAAACTTTGAAAGATGAAGAATGTGGGTTAAGAATGGGCGAGTTAACCGTCAAATGCCTTTTGTATGCCGATGATCAATTTATATTTGTGTCATCGGCGGCTGAGTTGCAAATGATGGTTACATTAATGAACTGGGAATTAAAAGAAAGGGGAATGAAAGTGAACGCAAGTAAGACGAAAGTGATGGTTTTTGAAAGAGAAGAAAGAAAAACGGTATGTGAAATAAGAATAGAAGGAGAGTTAATTGAGAAAGTGGATGAGTTTGTGTATTTGGGATGTGTATTTAGGATGTGTATTTAGCAGGGATGGTAGATATGATAGGGATATAGAACGACGAGTAAAAGCGGGAAATAGAGTGAATGGGGCACTACACTCTATTGTGAAGAACCAGAATGTGTCCAAAAAGGCACGTATGGTAATTCATAATGCTGTGTTAGTCCCTACTTTAATATATGGTAGTGAAAGCTGGGTGTGGCAGAAGAAGCACGAAAGTAGAATAAATGCTGTAGAAATGCGGTCTTTAAGGAGTATGCTAGGGTTGAATCTGAATGATAGGGTGAGAAATTGCGTGAAAAGAGATAAATGTGGTATGCAAGATAATGTTGTGACCAGGATTAAGAAAGGAAAGCTTCGGTGGTTTGGTCATGTAGAAAGAATGAATGAGGAAAGAGTGACAAAGCAAATTTATATGGCAGATGTGAACGGCCGAGTCGGGAAGGGACGCCCTAGAAAAAAGTTTATCGACCAAAGTGGCGATATTTTGAAAAGTGGCCACGTTAGAAGTACCCTTAACCGACGAGCATGTATGCGTAGATATATGGATGTAAAGGAGGCCAAAGAGGTATGTCAGGATCGTGCCAAATGGAAGTCCATAGTCTCTGCCTACCCCTCTGGGTGACAGGCGTGAGATATTATGGTGCACAAATGTGTTCTTACCTAATCAAAATAATTAAGTAGGTATTGTGATTAGGTATACACTTGTGCTTGTGATTAGGTAAAAAATATCTAAGTAAATAGTGTTAAATGCCCTAATTTGACTTACCTAGCCTTAATTTGCCTAAACCGATCATTTGAATTTCATTAGTAGGCTATTCGAGCTAGAGTTAAAGTTAAAGTTATAGCCTATATACGTCCTACTCCTGGGCACAGGCCTCCGCTCATTTCTGAAAGGGTCCTAAGGCAAGGAATTGTCCACCGCGCTGCCCCAATGCGTGTTGGCGAACTTCGCATGTCTTCGAAATATTTTTTTCTTATTTCTCAGACATGCAGGTTTCTTCACAATGTTTTCTTTCACCGCTGAGTACGTGGTAAATCAACACTTAAAATTGCAATTACAATTTCATTGGTGCCAGCGGGGATTAAACCTGGTTTGCTCGCGCACTGTGAAAATTTCAGCGAGCGCTAACCTTCCGAGCTACCACGGCTCTTCTCCTCTCGAGCTAGAGACTTTATTTTATTTATGGTACGATTTTGTCGCATGCCAGCGCTTACTTTTTGTTCTGGCAAAAAGCCACTTCTTTTCATAATTAATAAAAATTTCAAATTATGGTCCATTAGGTTGCAGCTTCACCGAACTACAACTTATCGGAGAAACAAAAAAGGCTTAGAGTCAAAATTTACGTTTAAATGCCAATAGTGTAACCAAAAATGTGTAATAGTAAACGATGATTGTAGTGAAAATTATTTATCATTAAATGAATGTGCAGTCGCAGGTATGATTGAAATAGGCGCGGGAAATCGCAACTAAACGTGTTATTATCATCAATGAATCTTCCTTCTTTATCCGAATATATATATATATATATATATATATATATATATATATATATATATATATATATATATATATATAAACACTTATATATATGGGCGTATGTATGCGAATATGTTCATTTAATAGCTGCAGCTATTTGTTTATAATTTAAGGAAGTTAAAAAAAATTGTAATCAATTTCTTACATTCAAGATAATAAAATTGACTTTATATTTTATTTTGTTTTATTTATTAATACCCACCTAGTATTACTAGTCACAAATAATCACAATACCTCATTATTTATATTAATTGGGTAAAAAATATCTATTTAGTTAATACCTACCCAGTAGGTAAATATTAAAATAATAAATGTAGCATTATAAACAGTAAATCTCCCTCAAACTCAATTTTCTAATATTGTTCCTAATGGAATAGCAGATAAAAGATTAGTAATGACTGTCGCTCCTCAAAATTATATTTGACCTCAAGGTAAAATATATCCTAAAATTCTTTAGCTAAATAAGATAATAATACCTACTATTAAAGTATATTTTCAATATGCAAGTAAATAAAAATAACAAAAACGAAGCACCATTAGCAAGTAAAGTTCGAATCCATAATTAACATTTCGACAAATATTATAATTTACACTATAAAAAGCTAATTCAATATTAACAGTATAGTATATAGTCAAAAATAAACAAAATAGTCATTTTTATTAATTAGATAATATATGAGAATTCATAATTTTAATATAATGCAACTAATATACCGAATAAAGAAAATTAGAATACATTTGTCATTGTCAGCCGTGCCTATTTCCATAAAATAGTTCATTGACATTGAAAAATAATACCACGTTCGTACCAGTAGGTGGCGTCTTGCAGATTTCTTACGCGATATATTGTAGCGAGAGTCGGCGGACCGAATGCTCAAGGTCGTTCGCTAAGGGTAAGGCCTTAACTTAGCATTCAACGATGCCACGACCTATTCCATCAAATAGAGATAAAAATCTCACTGTGCACTTAATTTTCAATTATTTACGTCTGATAACT